ATTCACGTGGACCCATTGCTGGGCAATGTATTTGTTACAGTTCAACTGTTTCGATGTTTTGGTCAAGATAAAACACGTGTAGGGCTCTTTGGGAATGGTGTTGTTTAAATATCCAGCCTGGGTTAGGGAATTTTTGATAATTATGCTACCCTCCCTTATTGAAAAACCCTCTCTAGATTAAACACTGTCTCCCAGTCCCAACATGTTTAATTAAGACAGGTTTTACTGTAGGAAGACGCTTTTTTTTAGTATCGATTGATTCTTGACATGCCAAAGCTATATCGGATAAAAAGGCGTGACATCAAACATTTTCAAAACTTAGAGTCAATATCCAGGCTATACATAGGATAGACTTGTATCTTAAAGCTAGGAAAACAAGACAGCTTATCACGCTATAATTGGCTATAATGTTTATTTGGATGCAATCGAGGGTATTTTTAGATGTCTCCTCCGCGAGGCGCAACCACATTTGGAATCTTGTCACGATACCGATTGACTTCAAGCCGTTTTTGATCGATATGGATCATACGCTGTTGCGTACATCAACACCGTTACAACACATCAGTCAAGCAAACGGCAAGGCAAGGTGGTCATCCTTCGCTAGCAAATATAGCTTAGAGGTGAATACACGCCTGGTTGACCAAATGGGGTGTCGGGACGCTTGTAATCATCCGAAATACTTGTCACATTAAATTATGATGAAGTCGTCACGCATCGATGTTGCTATTCGTTTTCAGACACGACTGGTGTTACTCATTTGAGCTTTTCAAGATGCACCTCTTTTTCAAATTATATTTCGCTTTATTAGACAACTTTACACTCAATTACACTGCTTTTCATTGTATGAATGTTTTTTTTGTAATAGCTCGGTCCCGCCTCATATGCTGAAGCGGCATTTTTCTCGCTCGTTGAGTTTGCGTGTAACAACACAAATCATGGTGCTGTAGACTCCACTTCATTTTCTAGCTATCACAAGGAGCTTTGACAAAACTATTTTGGTCATGGAAGTGGAAATATTGGCGCTACAGATCGACCTACTGATATCATTCCGGCTAAATCTTAAAGTAAAACTGATGGTTCATCTGGATTGTGTGTCATGTGCTAAGTGCGCAACACAATGGCTGAAATTAAGACATGCAATGACTACATGCAGATGTCAAAGGCGAAAAGTCAGTCATGTTATCTCAATTAATTGCAACGTTCCACTGGCAAATACAGTGTTAGTAGGTATTGAGACACAATCGCACCTCGTACAATTTTACTCATGGGACCTCGAGTGACTTGATCTAACGGCGGACTTTGTCTGTAATTTTGACTATAATGGGGGACGACGCGTCTTCTTTATTTCGGAAGATGAGTGAAGCTAGCCATGATAGGTTTGTCACTGCTCCCGATTGGTATGGCAAGGCCTACTGTCATCAAGAAAAGCTGGTGGCTTGGCGCACTCAGCGAAGTCACAAATATCATCTGATAAAGTGAAGGAGCTGGCCTCGCTTAGCAACCTACTGGAAGTCTCAATTTCCACTCCGCAAAAACGCTTTGACAACATCGACGCCATTATTTCGATACAGATGACTCCTCAGATGAGCGGTGCGGTCGTACGGCGCAACGCTTCCCACTAAAATGTGAGACGTGGCCTCGTTACATGCCAGCGTGTTGGCCAGTAGCCGTATTAGCAGCTTCAAGGTTTGGAAACCACCTGCTTTGACATTTCGTATCTTGTACTTTGCAAGGTAAAATATATAGCGACTCATCCGTTGGAGGTGTTTCTCGAACTAAGTTGACAAGTCGATGACGTTTTTGAACGACGTTTCACAATGCTTGAAGTTTTCTCGGAGGCCACGGTATAGGGTTACCTTCTGACATTGGCCATTTGAATGTTTTTTCCTTCACTTAAGACACTAAAACGACAAGTACACGACGTAATTGGTTAAAGCTCACACTGTAATGTGTTTATGTTTAGCCTCAAGAGACGGCTCCTCGCCAATAACAATTCCGGACTAAAATTATTTAGATTCCACCGGCTTTACATCTTGTTAGAAGGGTAATAACGCTGATTTGGCGTATATACACATCACAGAATCATTTTGAACATATAGCGAGGTCCAAGAGGCTAGGACTACTTGTCTGGTAAACAACTGTGATCGAGACCATTGGGAGGTACATCGATCTGAATTAGGTTCTTACCACTTTGAAAAACAAAGACGTATAATGTAAATTAGGCATGGATAGTCTATTGTTGATTTCTCCATTCCTAATCTATGTGTGCTTACTAACGAGGGCTCTACGAGTCAAAACTCAGTGAAGTGTGCCGCTGTAGAACCACTGCATTTAGTTATTTGTAAATGATGCAGAATCTTGCAGAGTATTCCTCCAGCTATGGTATGCTCCTCCACCAAGTCCAAATTTTATCAAATCCATTACATTACTGCTGGACGGTCAATGGGCGAGATCTTCTTCCGAGTTTATTGCAGTGAAACCTCTAAGTCAAATGGTTCACTCTCAAATATTACTGCAATCAGCGCGACACGATACCACGAAGTATCACATTGTTATCTGTGCCTCGTTACCCCGGTACAAAGAGTAATATTTATACGGGTGCCGAGTAATCTCATGTTATATTCATGGAAGTATTAAAATTTGCCATGGTTTTGTCTTCTTTTGATTTGACGTATGTCTAAATTCCGCGCGGTAGCTGTTGTGGTAGCTCAACCTGATATAACTGAGATAAATTACCTGTAACATCATATAATAAGTGTCCACATACCATGCCGTGTCTTGAAACGTGATATGGGTGTCCGCGTTTTCTTTCTTCGCTATGAATTGATCTATGTGGGTCACACGCCAGCGTTGCATTTTGCAAGCTTAATGGTGCGTTCCGACGATAATATATACGTTGTTAATCGTGTGGTGTTACCACAAACGGTATAGTATCACGGAAAGTGTGGAGTGGGTAAAGGTTTGACGCGGTGACGGCAACGCAGGCATAAAGGGACTCTGAAACAAAAGACTCTCAAAGTGTTTGCATTGGGAATAGGTCTGTGATCTTTTGTACTTTGACCTAAAACATTTGGCATGATAAAATCCATTACAATACCGTGCTGTTCGTACACATTTCAATTAACGCTTGGCGTAATTGTAAATATACTGAATTGACAGAAAATCAGATTTATGAAGATTGCAGACGTTGGAAAAGGAGGGGTCCGAGAAAACTTTAGGCTGCAGGCCGCGCCTTAAAAAACAAAGTCAATTATATCTTTAACAATAGTAGACTGCGGTGAATTGTTTCAGGCTGAAAGAAATCAATGGTCATTAATATATTCTTGAGATAGCCGAACGAGCTAACCGCATGAGTTAGATTAGAGGCTTTCGTTTTCGCCCCTGTAAGAGTGAAATCTCTGTGCGTTTTTCCTTAATACGAAACCTTTTTTTAGCCATAGCTTCATCTGTGCAAATTGCGCGGCAATCGTTGCACTAGTAGCACTTGTAGCTAATTCATGTCTGGTTTTATGATAAAACTTTATCTTCTGCGAGGATGGAGCATGAAATCCTTTATTACGAGTCCCAGGACAAAACAACCAGCGTAAGAAGCTATTGTATATCTTGAGTCTTAATGAGATGAAAGACCTGGTGACTAAAGAACCGAAGGTGGTAATCGCTCATCTGGAGGCGCTCATCAACTTAGAAAATAATTTAATAAAATTACGTGAGACCACTGATGTTGAGCGTCCAAAGGTTTGGACGAAGACAACTTCTTCCTGTAAATGTAGATTATTGAAGAGAAGAGAAGAGAAGAGAAGAGAAGAGAAGAGAAGAGAAGAGAAGAGAAGAGA